GGCAATCATAGTCCAATTGAACAGTTACATAAATATTCTTTTTTTTTTTAGTAAGGACCCGCAATTTGCTACTCGTGCTTTAAATAAACTCTGCTCTATTACAATAACCTGCAAATCACATAGAAGATATAATTCATACTAAACAAGTTAAGCTAATGTGACAAGCTCGATCGAAAAAATGCATACAAATGATATGAAACTTAGTGCCCTTATATGAAAAATCTTATGCTCAATCAACTCGATTGACCTTCACGGAAGTGGAAGTTACATGAATATTCTATTGACCAATAATTAGAGAACTCTTTGTTTTGGAACATGATAATTTAAAGATATATATACCAAAAAAAAGGATTTGATTTTATCAGAATTTTGTCAAGCGTGCACGTCCCTAGATTTGTGTAAATCCATATTGCTTCTATCATAAGATCTCACAAACCAATCAAAGTTGAAATGTGATTTGATTTGCATACAATTTGCAGATATAAAAAAAGTTTCACGTGCTTATATTGTAAGATACTATATGTACAATTATTCTTATCACTTATCAGCCGTCATATAAATAATTAAAACAATACCACATTTCTTTAATTTATTTATCTCCTTTATCTTTGTCTTATATATTTTCTTTACATAAATAATACATTAATTAGTTCTAAAATTACTCGTGTTAGTACCTATTGTATATCATTACACTTCTTACTTGAATAATTAAGTGTCTTCCTCTACATTATACATAATTATTATTCAATTTCTCATTAAAAATTTGATAATTAAAGAAGATTATTCTTGAGAATAAGGCACCGTCACTTGGTGTAATAACACTAATTATAATTAGTAATATATCTTGTTTAAACCAAATCAATTTTAATAGTCCAAAGGCCATATGGTCCCCTACCCAAATCTATCTTAAAAGAATATAATTCCCTTCTCCTTATATGAAATTAAAAAAAATGTCTTTTTCACCCCAAATAAAAATTTTAAAAACCAATATTTTATTCCCTAAATATACCATTTTGAAAGGAACAAAAATATCAAGAAGAAAGAATTTGGTTCGTGAGAATCTATTGATTTTGTTCATTTTTTAATTTTAATTTTTAGTGAGAGAGAGAAAAAAAAAGTTGACTAATCTAATTTTATGTGCAACTTTTGTCGGTCATTAAAGATCAAAACAACTTGTAATTTAAAAAAAATAAAATTAGCAAGTTGCAAGTAATATGTTCCTTAGAAAATTCAAAGATCCAGTTTTTTTTCATTGCTTTTTTTTTTTTTCTTCATGAATTTGGAGTATAATCCGACGCAAAAAGTTAATTACATTACATAAAGAAGTTCTAATAGATATTCCACAGAATCCTACATTACATAAGGGACAAATCTACTTATATATATAGGCTTTTTCCCCCTATTTTATTTGTGTTAAAGTAATTTCTGTTTTTAATGGGGGGAAAAAAGAAGAGGAAAACGTATAATTAGATGAAGGATAAAAATGAGCCTTTTTTGGGCCCTGAACTGAGGAAGAAACTGGATCGACATTGTAAATGGGCCCGGGCCCGTTTCTGAGAATTGCAGGTTTAGGTTGTAGTGTTGGAAAATGTGGTTCGGGACGAGGTGGGAGTGGCTATGGTGGAGGACAAGATGTGGAAAGTAAGACTAGGATAGTTGAAGTATGAGAAGGAAAAATGAAACAATTTGTCATTGAAGAACTTCGAAGATCAAATTTTAAAATTTGACCTGCCACAAACTTGAATCGTTTCAAGTGAATAACATATCAAAAGACTTGAAACAATGAGAGGAACTCATATAAAAAAATTTGGAACTGTTTAGAGGAGATTTGAGTTGGTTGGGATTGAAAAAAAAAAAACTAACTTTGTGAGAACATGTAAATATTGTATAAACAATGTATAGGTATATACAGGGGCGTAGCTACATAGTCTTTAGGGTGTTCAAGTCGGAAAATTATACCGTATATACAAGTAAAATAATAGACAAAGTGCTTAAATAACGTATTCTGGACACCCTTAACACAACAAGATGTTGTAGCCTAGTAATTTAAGGTGCCTTGAAAGAGCCAAGTTGAGAGTTCAAATCTTGCTAGCAACAACATTAAGCCTCTTTTTTTTCAAATTTTTACTGTATATTACCTACTTTTCTTCAAAAAAATTCATGTATATTATGTAGTTTAATTTTAAAATTTCTAGTGCACTCATTCATCCAAAAGAAAAAATATACTCGCGTACAATTCTTTGACACCCTTCTTGAAATTTCTAGCTACGCCACTGGGTATATATGTCTCTATTACATAACTATATACCATACATACATGATTATACACTATTTATACAGCATTGATATATCACATATACATAACGGTCATTTTTGTTGAATTTTTTTTGTCGCCTTTACCGTTACGTAAAAATCCCAATTAATACTGGATATCCATTTTTCCGGATAGATCTTGGAACAACAATTGACGTTTGAAAATTTGTTGAAAATTAGCAGCCACTTTTTCATGTAGAAACACCGTAACTTTGGCATGAATTTTAAATTTAAACAAGTGAAAAAATTCAGAATACTGCCATGATTCTTGAAAAATTATAAACTATGTGATAGTGTCATGAATTTCCTATATGATACTACGATGAAGACTGATTTTAAAATTTTAAATTCTTGAATAAATGCGGCTCAACGAATCTCGTGGCCTGAGGCAAAATCATATTAAGAGCCCTTTAATTTATTTTATAAAATTTGTACACTAACAACAAAATTATTATTTTCTAAACAATAGATTAATCATTTAAGACATAAATAACGATTTAAAAAAAAAAGAACTAGAAAAAATAGCACAAAGAATAAAACGGTGGATTATCGATGTTGAGGTCCAAACACATATTAAAATTTTAACTTGAGTATTATCACAAACATGAAAAAGGAAAGAATGTGGGATAAAAATAGTAAAAATTAAAGGAATCCCATAGTCTAATATGTAAATTACATCATATCCCTAATAATATCTATATTACAAAAATCCCTTGTAAATGGATGCAGCCGGATACATTGGTTCCACCAAGATACATTATAAACGATACATCAGAAACAAATTGTTGTTGCACTAAAAAAGGAAAAAAAAA